CACTTAGAATATTATGTATGTTTTTGAAAAACAGATTTAGCTGCATTTACTAAAGTGGTGAAACTTATGAAGTACGTAATTAACTGATTTTTATTCCTCTTCTCCCCAGAGTTTTGTCTTAGAATTTCACTTTGAGCCCAATGAATATTTTACAAATGAAGTGCTGACAAAGACATATAGGATGAGGTCAGAACCAGATGATTCTGATCCCTTTTCTTTTGATGGACCAGAAATTATGGGTTGTACGGGGTGAGTTTAATTTTACTACCTTAATAAAATGTTTTTTATTTTTGTTATACTTTATTTCTATACTTATTTCCATTTACATATGTACATAGTCTGTCTCTGAACGTTTTGGTAAGATGTTTTCTGACAAACAATTTTCCTATAATTCTCCTTGGGCCCATGACTGTCTCACATATATTTCTGCAAAGGAATGCTTCTTTAAATCATACTGTTTGTTTGTGCTAATTGTAAATATGTTTATTTTAAATATTTGCTTAGGAATAAAATTTTTCCCTTTATACTGCTATAGAAAACACTTGAAGCATTTCACCCTTCTAAAATTTGAAATCTAAATATAACATTTACTTCTAAAAGTTTAACAATTGAAAGATTGTCAATTGTGATAGATTTTTCTTTGTTTTGCAAGGTGCCAGATAGATTGGAAAAAAGGAAAGAATGTCACTTTGAAAACCATCAAGAAGAAGCAGAAACACAAGGGACGCGGGACAGTTCGTACTGTGACTAAAACAGTTTCCAATGACTCTTTCTTTAATTTTTTTGCCCCTCCTGAAGGTAAATAATATTTTTGCCTAAGTATTAATGGTGGTTTTATAGTAAGCGTTGTTCAGCTTCTTATTCATTTTAATTTCTTTTCTCAATTTTGCAGTTCCCGAGAGTGGAGATCTGGTAAGTTGAATTGTTATTTATTTATTGAATTGTTTACTATATTTGAAATTAAAGCACTGAATTTCAAAAATTGAGAGTGGGGTGGTTGTTACATTGAGTTCTGAGGCCTACAATACATGAAGCAGGCTTTTTGGATCTGAAAAATTGTTCCATTCAAAATATCAGTGCCTCTACTGAGAAACACTGAGATTAAAAAGCTTAAGGTTTTCTTTCTTTTGAGACTTACAAATATTGATGTGAGGTATTTAACTTTTCAAAACTATGTCTTCCTTAGTAAAACCAGAATGTATTAGGTCATTTATACTGTTAAATTCCTAGCTACATTATGGTTAGAATTCATTCCTGTGTATTCCTGATTTGTTATTCCAGTGTAAATATGGTTTCATATTGTGACTGTGTATGTTCATGTATATTGCATATGGCAAAGGACTATGAAAGGTTCCTGCCATATAGCCTGAACTGAGGAACAACCTTAAAGAAAGTCTGTACATACAAGGTAGGGCAGGTATATTTTGCATATGATTTTCTTTTGGACAGGGTTTTGAATTTAAATTAACTAAGATAGTTTAAATAGTTTTTATATATGGAATTAGAAATTAACTTAAACAGAATACTTTTGAATTGGAATAATCTTGGCTAAGGCTTAGAACAAATCTGCAAAAGGCAAAAGTAAGTATTTCTGGCTTGGCTTATAGGACAATGAAAGGAAATACAAAGCAGTATGAATTTTAGGCAAGAAGAACTACTTTAAGTATTAAGATAGAGTGTCACACTGTTTTCATATCAGTGGATGGATTGGAATTTGTGTTCAAGTTCTTTTTTTTGTTACTAAATATTGATGACAAAACAGTGTTAGTTATGGATAGAAAACTTCTACCTGTGGTTTGAATCCCTCCCCGCCCCCGCCCTTTTGGACTTTTTTATTTATAAGATTGTGTTTTTGACTCAAACATTCATAAAATTCACAGAGGGTGGGCTCATTGTTTAGTATCATAGAACTTAAAGTGGGATTTTAAAATTTTTATTTATTTTTTTGAGATGAAATTTTGCTCTTTTGATTAAGCTGGAATACAGTGGCATGATCTTGGCTCACTGCAACCTCTGCCTTCCTGTTTCAAGCGATTCTCCTGCCTCAGCCTCCTGAGTAGCTTGGGATTATAGGTGCCCACACCATGCCCAGCTAATTTTTGTATTTTTAGTAGAGATGGGGTTTCACCACATTGGCCAGGCTGGTCTCGAACTCCTGACCTTGTGATCCACCCAACTCAGCCTCCGAAAGTGCTGGGATTATAGGCGTGAGCCACCACACCCGACCCAAATTGGGATTGTTTTAATTGTGAATAATGCCAGACACACTTGTGCCCTGTGCTTTGCCATTAAATAGAAATCCTAAGCCAGGTACAGCTTCAGGCACCTGTAATCCCGGCTGCTGTGGTGGCAGAGGTGGAAGGATCACTTGAGGCCAGCCTGGGCAACACAGTGAGACCCTGTCTAAAAAATAAAAGTGCTAGGGGTATCTGATTTAGTTAGTATATTGTCTTTCTGAACTAGGACTCTATCTCATTTGGGGTTAGTAGACTTAAAACTGTACAGCTATTTGGGTACTGTCTTTTAGGAAGTATATGTGATCCTCTGTGGTTATTATGTCTTTCTATTTGCTATATACTTAACAATGTTACCTACAATAACCTGAGGGTTTTTTTTGTGTGTGTGTTTTTCTATTTGGTGTTTTCAGTATTTTAAAAGGAAAAATTCAGACATATGTAACAGCTGCTTTTACATATTTTTGTTTAAACCAGCAAGAACTAAGTAAGCAGTTCTAATTTTTATTCTTCACAATTTCTTTAGTATGCATACTGGACTGCTAACTTAATTTTCTTTTTGTTAAAAACTGGGAAAAATTATTAAGGAAATTTGAAAATGACAAATCATTTGTTAACATGGTATGAGAAAAATAATGGAAAGTAAAAAGTAAAGTTGAGGATTTCTTCCTTTCATCATAGACTTTTTTTTTTTGGTTGCCCAGGATCTAGAGTGCAGTGACGTGATCACAGCTTATTTCAGCCTCAAGCTGCTGGGCTCCAGCAGTTCCCCTACCTCAGCCTCTCAAGTAGCTGAGACTACAGGCTTGTGTCACTATGCCCAGCTAATTGTTTATTTTTTGTAGAGTTGGGGGTCTCACTACATTGTCTAGGCTGGTTTTGAACTTCTGGGCTCAAGTGATCCTCCCATGTTGGCTTCCTGAAGTGTTGGTACTATGGGTGCAAGCCACCACACCCAGCCTCTAAGAGTCTTACACGTGCCAAATTAAGTAACAAAGTTATTCCTAAATTTTCTTCTTTTGTTTTCCTTTAAAAATAGGATGATGATGCTGAAGCTATCCTTGCTGCAGACTTCGAAATTGGTCACTTTTTACGTGAACGTATAATCCCAAGATCAGTGTTATACTTTACTGGAGAAGCTATTGAAGATGATGATGATGATGTAAGTGAATTTGAATACTGCAAAGAAATAATTGGGCGAGAGTATAGTGGTTAGAATGAGAAATAGATAAGATTTAATTTTTAAGACGCAAGACATAATATAATTCAAAATTAGGCAAATTATTGATGTTCTGTATATAGCTTTTCTGGATTTTAAGTATGTCTCCTTAGGATTTTTGGATTCATTTATCTTAGCTTTTAATTTTCTGCTAATAAGATTGTTCTGAGTTTGTGAAACTTTGGTTAGTGCTATATATCTGTGCTCTTGCCTTGACTTCACAGAACTAGGACTTTTTAGTGTACAAGAAAATGTTTACTGGGAGGCATAGATTTTCATTAAAGGTAGTATTGAGTGATGAGTAGGTTAAGATTAAGCTGCATATAGATGTTTTGGATATGTTTTGCTCAATGGCAGTTGTTAAGCATAGGGTTTAGGTCCTTTTTGTACAGTGCATTCCACATTTAGGTGTGGGTAATATGTACAGAAATAGTTGTCTGATCATACTTTATTCACGATTGATTGTACCCTGTTCTTTAGTTTTATAAATTGGCAGTGAGCTGAGTGATTCTTGCAGCTAGTATGTGTTTTAATTTATAATCAACCCCTTGATAGGAAAGTAGGTTTTTTCTTTTGAGATACTAGTTTACACAGTGATGAATGTTACTAATGCTACTCTGAAATGTGTGTTACATTCACTCACATGCTGTTTTTCCTTTTCAGTATGATGAAGAAGGTGAAGAAGCGGATGAGGTAATGTTTACCAAATGAGCAAATATGTTTAACAATTGAGAAGCAAATTGAATGACTTATGTATTCCTTTGCTATAATCATTCTGTGATTTGGGATAAAAAACATTTTGGAAAATATGATTTTAGAATTCTACAGCCAAACAATGTATGTATAAGGTTTCAATAAATAAATTGCAAAACTCAGCAACATTTTTTTATTTCAAATAATTTTGTTCTGCTGCAGGGTTATCAGCTCTTTGAAGAAGTCAAAAGCTGCAGTAAACTTTTTCAACGTTGGCTGCAGTAACTATTTTCAATAAAAGCTGTCTGGATGTCTCAAGTTGTGTTGGGAAATTTTTCATATTAGAAGCTTTCAGATTAAATTGTATTATCATCAGACTCTGTAATCATGAAAATCTGTTGACCCGTAGAGTAACTTGTATTAAATTTTCCCTACATTATGAGCCAATTTACCTACTATGTACATACTTCATGGATGCATTTTGAACTTTAATATAGGAAGGGGAAGAAGAAGGAGATGAGGAAAATGATCCAGACTATGACCCGAAGGTGAGCAAAATTAGTGCTGCTTTCTATTAAATTTAAGACAGACTAAAGTAAGAGTTGGTATTTCTGAATATCAAGTTCATTTCTCTCTGTTAAAGTCTTTAGTAAATAAAGCCTGTTGGCTGGATAACTTATTCTTTTTTCAGTCCCACTGGCATTTTGAACAGTACACATAATTTCAGTGGACGTTTTTCTAAAACGTTGTTTTCTAAAAACATTGTTTTTTGCTTGGGCTTTCTACTTTCTGTAGTTTCAGGCACAGCGAACCCTAGGATTCTATTTTAATGAGACAAATTAGAACAGTTTTTATGCATTAGAAAAAATGATTGCATGTGATTTTAGATTATTCTCCTTTCTAAGGACAGCTTTTTAAACAAAGGGTTTTGAAAGATCTGGTTGCAGGAGTATTCCAGAACTGGGGAGCAGTAGAGTTTGTTAAATCCTTCCAGCTACTCTTATTCAGTCCCTGAGAGTCCTAGTTTATTATTCCTGAGGCAAAAGCAAAGCTGATTGCTAATATAACTAACATAAATTGCTTGGTAATTTTATTTTTTAAGATTATGGTTTAGTGTATGTCACATTTTATGGAGTTAATTCTACAGTGTAAAGTTTGAGCTTGATTTTAGCATTTCAGTGACTTGCTACTAAAATAATTTACCATCATTGTCCTATACCCTTTTTTTTTTTTTTGACAACAGTGAGCTACTGTTATAATTAAGGCAGTAATTACTATTAAGAAATTCACTGAAGCAGGTAGAAGAAGATAGATTGACTTGTTGTTTTCCTTTAACAGAAGGATCAAAACCCAGCAGAGTGCAAGCAGCAGTGAAGCAGGATGTATGTGGCCTTGAGGATAACCTGCACTGTAATAGCCTAAACACAACTCTTATTTACTTACAGCCTTATGTTTTTGTATTTTCTTGGTAGACTAGGTAATTTTTTTTTAAAAAGACAGGAAACTGATATTTTAAAGACCAATTTGTTCTACCTAGCATTTTAACTAGTTTTTCTGCCAGATATGTTGAATGCACAGATTCCGTCACGCATGTTCATTCATTGCTACATAATTTGGTTCTTCTGGAATATTTTTATGTAGCTCTTGGAGTACAGCTATGAAAATTAACACCTGTTAAAGGAAATACTTTTTCTTTTTTCGTAATTTTTCCTTGAAGAACCAAAGTATTTTTTCAGCTGGTTGTTGAATAGGATTAAGTCCGCTTGGATTAGCTGTGCCTTTCATTACTTTGTTACAGAAATGCAGTGACTTATACTAAGACAATTCATCGTTTAAAAAAAAAAATTGGCAAGACAGCTGTATGGTTAAGAATTTCCAGTATGACCACACCCAATAACTGTATTAGATTGTTAATGGATTATTGTGTTACATAGGTGACATAGTTAATTGTAAAGTAACCTGATTCAGGATAGTTATTGGTACCACAGTGAGGTGAATAAAACAGGATTTTCAGAAGTTAGCCTGAATTTTGTACTTTTAAATTTAACCTCCATTAACTAAGCATCTTTTCTTTGTGGTAGGGTCTACTTTCTGCTTCCCTGGAAAGGATGAATTTACATCATTTGACAAGCCTATTTTCAAGTTATTTGTTGTTTGTTTGCTTGTTTTTGTTTTTGCAGCCTAAAATAAAAATTTCAAATACAATTTTAGTTCTTATAAGATAATGTCTTAATTTTGTACCAATTCAGGTAGAAGCAGAGGCCTAGCTTGAATTAAGGGTTATACTCAGTTTTTACCACATTATTGAAGAAAGGGTACCAGCTTTGGAAAGAGATGCTATACTAATAAGCAAGTATAAAAAAAAGAAGAAAATCTTAAATGATTTGATGTTTTAAAAAAAAATTCATTTTCTTTGGGTTAGAGCTATAGAGAAGGCCAAAAGCTTCTGTGGTTTCTTCTAATTCTTATTGCTTAAAATATGAGTATGTCACTTACCCATGGTTCTGCTTACTATGTATTAAAATGGGTAGTACTGTTTACTTAACTACCTCATGGATGTGTTAAGGCATATTGAGTTAAATCTCTTAAAATGTTTCTCAATCTCATTAAAAGCTCAAAATTTTGGGCCTATTTGTAATGCCAGTGTGACACTCAGCATTTTGTTCACATTACTCTTTGACAACTAAACTGGAAAACAAAGGTTAAGTACCTCTGTTCTCGATCTGGGCAGGTAGCACTCTCTTGATCTTTGTGTGGCTCCTATTTTTATAGAAGTGGTTGGATGTACTATTTCATAAGGTCCAAGAATTTTTTTTCAGATATTTTTGATGACTGTATTGTAGTAAATACTACAGGGATAGAACTGTATAGTATTGTAGTCGTGAGACTAAAGTGGAAATAAGACTATTTTTGACAAAAGATGCCATAAAATTTCAGACTGTAGAGCCACATTTACAATACCTCAGGCTAATTACTGTTAATTTTGGAGTTGAAGTTTTTTTTGATGACAGCAAGGGTGGACTATTGGATTGTCATTAGAGGAAGTTCTAGATTTCCTGCTCTTAATAAAATTACATTGAATTTGTTTTTAGAGGTAATGAAAACTTCCTTTTTGAGAAGTTAATGTAAAGGTCTTAGAATGTGAACACATTGTTTGTAGTGCTATCCATTCCTCTCCTGAGATTTTAACTTACTACTGGAAATCCTTAACCAATAATAATAGCTTTTATCTCTTTATTTTAAATGATTTCCTTTGCTTTGATTAGAGACTCTTGCTTTTTTTTTTTTTTTTTTGTAACCATAGTTCATCTAAACACAGCCTTTTCTGAACTTTAAAGATAGAATCCCATTTTTAATGAACTGAAGTAGCAAAATCATCTTTTTGATTCTTTTAGGAAATAGCTATTGCCAAAGTGACGGTGTAGATAATACCTAGTCTTGTTATGTAATGGAGATGTGGTTTGCAGAAGAATTTTCTTTATAATATTGAAGTTTCAGGGGATGTCAGTGTTTATGCCATTTTTCCAGTTCCAAAATGATTCCATTCCATTCTAGAAATTTGAAGTATGTAACTTGAAATCCTTAATAAAATTTGGATTTAATTTTATAAAATGTTCTGGTGATATTTTGGGTGTTTTTTTTTTCTAAATGAATATGTATACTTTTTTTGAAGAGAGGAGAGTAGCGATGTCTAGAGTGAGCTATTTTGTGCTGAGGCCACTATGTTCTCTAAATCTACAATTTTAAGAGCAACCTTACTACCCCTGCTAAATGGAGTTTGTTATTTGAAGACTAAAATGGAATTCCATAGTTCCCGATAGATTATATTCTGAGTTATCTACAAACATTTTTGAGACACTTGAAGATTTGTCTTTACACTCTGATTATAGTTTCCACCAGCCCATGCAGACTGCCAAGTAGGTTTCGTTTTTGCCTGTTAGAAATGGTGAAATATAGTCACTTACAAAGAAAACTTTGATTAGAAAAAATTTTAGCACTGTTTGCTTTATGGTCATTCAAGAATGGTAAGTGTTCCACAGATTCCACAAATTGATGAATTTATAGTTTAACATGGATGTCTGAAAGCCACATAATTCCGTAGGATTCTTACATTAGTAAATCTAGCTTACTGAAGCAGTATTAGCATCACTATTTTAGATTGCAAAAATAACTTAATTCTGTGGAATTGGCTTATGGAATGGTACTAAAGAAAAATGGGATTCTACCTCATTTTCTGTTTTAGCATACTTAACAAACAAACATGAAAGGATATATTAGCTTTCATAGAAATATTTTTGTTCTGTGAATAGGTTAATGATATGGTAAGGCTCCTAAGATAGTGGAATTAACTGTTTATATTAATATTACTGCTGTTTATAAACAGTATGAATTTGTAGGTTTATCTGAATTGTAGGCCATTCCATTATTAAAAATAAAGACAAAACTTGTAGTAACTTTGTGAAAATCTTATCGTGCTATGTAGAAATATTGAACTAATGTTCAAATATTTGGATGCTTTGGTTTCAGGGATTGGTTTAAAATTGGAGTCCTTTTTATGGGTTAGTCTTACAAAATTTAAGCCTTTATATTTTTGACTTTAAATCAAAAATGTTATTTTAAATGTACAGAATAGATTGATAGTGCAGAAGACCATGAGTTCTGCATAGGAGCTTTAGAAAAAAAATATATGCTAATTCAGTTTTTTAAAATCGTCAGCACTGTATACACATAATTATGAGCTTGGTTTTGTTTTTGAAAATATGTGTTCATAATTTAGGTAATTTGCTACTTAAAGCACTAAGTCTCTGATACCTGAAAAGTAAATGTAAATGGTGATAGTGAAATAATACTGCAATTAAGAGATGTATACTGGTGATTTTTGTATGCTAGATTAAAACTCCAGATATTAAAATATAACCTGGATAAAGAGCCAAGTTCTTGCCTGATTAAGGATCACTTACATGACTACAGAAATGGAAATATCCTTGTTGGTATATGAAATTATTTTACTTAAGGATAAGTGTTTATCCATAAGAAATTTTGATTGATGTGTTATATTTCCAAAAACACAGTATGCTTTGTATCTTGTGTTTCTTCCTTTTGACATCAAACTATCAGGTTTTCCAGTTTACAGAAATTATTCTCTAAAATCCTTAGTATAGACAGTCACTGACTTACAATGGTTCGTGTTAAGATTTCAGCTTTTATGAATTTACTGGGTTATTAAACACATCTTCTACTTAGGATATTTTTGACTTAGAGTGGGTTATTGAGGCACGATCATGTCATCCTCAAGAGTCTGAATAAAAGAAGAAATGGGGTATATTAATTTAGAAATAGATTGCTGGTGGGAAATAAGTCAATTTGGTTGTTTAATTTTTGTATTGGAAATTGAGCATTTGTAGGTTTTGTGGACAAACTGAGTTTTATTATTTTGAAACCCAGGATAAAACATTGCATAAAATAGAAGCAATGCTTTTTAGTTTCTTACGTGTTTTATTTTTGTTTTTGAGACAGAGTCTTGCTCTGTTGCCCAGGCTGGAGTGCAGTGACATGATCTTGGCTCCCTGCAACTGCCACCTCCCAGGTTCAAGCGATTCTCGTGTCTCAGCCTCCCAAGTAGTTGGGATTACAGGCATGCACCACCAAGCCCAGCTGATTTTGTATTTTTAGTAGAGATGGGGTTTTTGTTGACCAGGCTGGTCTCGAACTCCTGACCTCAAGTGATCCTCCCACCTTGGCCTCCCAAAGTGTTGGGATTAAGGTGTGAGCCATCACACCTGGCCAGTTTCTTACATGTTTTAAACTTAAAGCCAAAAAGTAGGAACTGGAAATGTGTGATTAAATTTGTGAGTGCCGGAAGTTGACAGATCTCATATCCAGAGTTGATAGTATTCATAATTTTATCATTCATCATGTATTAGGCAATTGCAGCTCTGAAAAACTTCATGAGGTTGTAAAATAGTTTCTACCAGAATGCTCAAAATTTGTATGAGAGCTTTTAGCTGAGATTTCAAGAATCTGTAGGAATTTGTGAAGTGAGGGGAAGGGCCTCTGAGCAGTGAGCAGTTCAGGTGGAGGAACAGGAGGAAATATAGGCAAAGGTCCCAGAACAGAACAATTCAGGGCACGTAGAAGGAATTGAAATAACTAGAAATACAGGTAGAAATACAAGTGGCCAGTCCATAGAAAGGTTAGCTGTGAAAGTCCTTTTAATGGGTTTGGAACACTGAAAACCACCTGTTAAGAATATTTCAAGTGAGGATGAGGATAACATTTCCATGGAAGATTTTTTTGTTGCTTGTTTGAGACAGGGTCTTACTCCATTTGCCCAGGCTGGAGTGCACTGGTGCAATCTTGGCTCACTGCAACCTTGACCTTCCTGGCTCAGGTGATCTCCCACCTCACTCAGCCTCTCAATAGCTGGGATCACAGGTGCGTGCCACCACCCCCAGCTAATTTTTGTATTTTTTAAGGAAAGAGGTTTCGCCATGTTGGCCAGGCTGGTCTTGAACTCCAGGACTCAGGTGATCCACCAACCTTGGCCTCCCAAAGTGCTGGGATTACAGACATGAGCCACTGTGCCTGGCTGGAAGATAATTTTTAAAGTAAGACATGATTGAGAGAGTGAGTCAGCCATTTGAAGGTAAGAACGTTTGAGGTAGGTGGGCCCCAGGGGCAATTTAGAGGCTAGTAAAGGCCTCTGAGACATATATATAGAACTGAAAAGTAGATTAAATGATGGAGTAAGGCAGCAGCAGTGAATAAGATACTGTCTGAGACCTGTTACGATAATTTACTTAGCCAAGAACAGAAGCTTTATTTAAAAAAAAAAAAAAAAATTGCTGAATACAGTTTTATCGGCAGTGAATCCCCTTAGTCAAACTTCAGATTGATGTTTTTGGGTAACTTATCAATATTACAGCTTTCCTTCAACTGCAAAATTAAAATAGTTCAAAGAATTCCAGTATATTCTTTACTCTGATCAATATACTTTTTGGCTCATAAAGTTTCCTAGGCTTATCATAGACGTATTCTCTTTCAGCTCTGGAGAGGACCATTCCTCCAAGGATTGCTGGCTTCTTAGAATAGGGAATATTATTTAGAAACTGAAGTCCAGTTTCTGAATGTGTTCATTACAGGGTATTTCTAGGGCCTTTCAGGTGAAAGAAACTCTGTACATGTATGGTAATAAAAACTAAATGCATAGTGGATACTTTGAAATTGAATCAAACAATGTTATTTTTCCTAGTACTACTCCAGTCTACATTTGTAATTATCTTCAGATAAGTGGAATCAGTTGATCCAACTGGGAAAGTAGATGTGGTTGCTCTATGGGAATAACAATCCATGAATAAAAATGGAGATCCAATTTTAGACTAAAACCTTTCAGCCCCTAAAGAAATGTCTACCATCAAATTTTAATGAATATGTATGAGAATACAATTAGCATCTGGGTATTAATGTAGTTAAGCACAGGCTTTAGAGTCTGTACCACCTGTTGGTTCAGCATCAATGTTTTCATCTGTATTGTGAAAGATTGTGGTATACATTAATAAGGAAACAAAAGTACTTAGAACCTCTGAGCACTTAGTAGATATGCTTCCTAAACAGAAAATGTAAAATTTGTGGTTGGGATTACTTTTTTTGAGACGGAATCTCACTCTGTCACCCATGCTGGAGTGCAGTGATGCAGTCTTGGCTCACTGCAGCCTCTGCCTCCTGGGTTCAAGTGATTCTCCTGCCTCAGCCTCCTGCGAAGCTGAGATCCCTGTAATCCCACATTGAGATTACAGGCACGTGCCACCATGCCCAGCTAATTTTTGTATTTTTAGTTGAGAGGGGTTTCACTATGGTGGTTGGGCTGGTCTCAAATTCCTGACATTGTGATTCACCGGCCTTGGCCTGCCAAAGTGCTGGGATTACAGGGATTACTTTTTAAATTGGTTTTAGAACTTAATTTCTGAACTAGTTGGGGTTTTCTTGGTTCAAAGGCAAAATTCCTCCTAGGTAAGAGATACCTTACTCAGTGTACATAAACACTTGAGACTTAACACTGGATAATACATTTAAGCATGCCTCGTTTTGAAATTTTTTGTTTGTTGTAAACAAAAAATTTGACCTTAACCTAAAGTCAGCTGGGTTAGAAAATCTCATTGTATTCCTTTCTTGTTTGTGTTTTTATGTGCTGATTTATTTTCATTGGCCTTTGGCAGAATCCAGAAATGATCTAGGGTAAAACTAAATGAAGTCTCACCATATTTGGATTTCTCATGCTTCAGTACACCCAAATTGTCATTTTTCAGGCTATCTTTTCTATCTCTAACGTTTACCTTGAGCTGGTGTGGATTGACATGGGTGTCTGTCTTAAGATCAGATGTGATTTTATACTTGGATTAGGCCAGTCAGTTATTTTTATTATTTTTGAGATGAATTCTCACTATGTTGTGCAGGCTAGTGTCTAACTCCTGGGCTCAAGTGGTCCACTCACCTCAACCTCCTGAGGTACTGTGATTACAAGTGGGAGCTGCCACACCTACCTGCAGATTTCAAAACTAAGGACTGGAACTGTTGTCTTTGCTATTCATTTGGCTTGGTGAGTGCACTTAGCCACTTCACAGCAGCTTGACAGCCCTATTTTACCTGCATTTGTACTGTTTCAGCTCTGCTTGGCTGCCTTTTCTTTACTTCTGCAACTGGACTTTTGTGTATGTGTTTTATTAGTTCAGTAGAGGATCTCCTTTTCATCAGTACCTACTCTTGTTCTGTAGTTCTGAACTGGTCTACCAGTTAAAAAAGTACTTTAGAAATACTTGCTCACTAATGGGTTTCCCAATTTCTAGCACTGGGCTTGGAATATGGTAAGTGTATAGCAAAGTTTTCTATGTATAGGATTTATCTAGACCCATTCGATATACCAACCATAATTCTGTATGGGACTATGTAGCAAATGGAATGATTGATTCTCAGTAGTTCAGTCTCCTCTGGTCTTTTGTAGTTGTCATATTCCTGCAGATTGAGAAAAGCAGTGAAACAAAGCTGGGTTGTGTATACAGTTGGCCCTTAAATAATGCAGGGGCTAGGGGCTCCAGCTTCCCTGGCAGTGAAATCTGTATAAGCTGATTCCTCACAAACTTGACTGATAGCCTATTAGTGAGTCCTTCCCAATAAGTCATTTAAGACAAACTTTGTATGTTATGTGTATTATATACTGTAGAAGTAAGTTAGAGAAAATGTTAAAATCAAAGAATCAAAAATATATTTACTTTCATGGCCAGGTGTGGTGGCTTGCGCCTGTAATCCCAGCACTTTGGGAGGCTGAGGCCGGGATCTCACTTGAGGTTAGCAGTCCGAGACCAGCCTGGCCAACGTGGCAAAATCCTGTCTCTACTAAAAATACAAAACTGAAGGAACAGGAAAACCGGAAGGGCCTGATAGCCGCCATCTGTGCAGGTCCTGCTGCTCTGTTGGCTCATGAAATAGGTTTTGGAAGTAAAGTTACAACACATCCACTTGCTAAAGACAAAATGATGAATGGAGGTCATTACACCTACTCTGAGAATCGGGTGGAAAAGGACGGCCTGATTCTTACAAGCCATGGGTGGGCCTGGGACCAGCTTCGAGTTCGCGCTTGCAATTGTTGAAGCCCTGAACGGCAAGGAGGTGGCGGCTCAAGTGAAGGCTCCACTTGTTCTTAAAGACTAGAGCAGCAAAATGTGACAATCACCTAGAGAAACAGGCCTTAGGAATCTATTCTCACTGTGTTCACTCTGAACAAAACAATGGTAGGTTAGTGTGTTCCTAAGCTGCCCTCATTACTGCTTTTGTGAAGTACAGTTGTGAAGTCATAACTACACAGAGATCTTCCAACCTACAAATTGTGTCTATACATTTCTAAGCCTTGTTTGCAGAATAAACAGGGCATTTAGCAAACTAAAAACAAAAAAACAAAAAAACTTAGCTGTACCCACATGGTAGTGGTACATGCCTATAGTTCAAGCTGCTCGGGAGGCTGAGACACGAGAATTGCTTGAACTCAGGAGGAAGAGGTTGCAATGAGTTGTGATGGTGCCACTGCACTCCAGCCTTGGCAACAGAATGAATGAGTGTGTGTGTGTGTGTGTGTGTGTGTGTATTTACTATCAGGTGGAACTGGATTATCATAAAGGTCTCAGTCCTCGCTGCCTTCATGAGTAGCTGAGAAGGAGAAGGATCTTGCTGCTACAAGGGTGGTAGGTGGACCCTGTTCAAATTTGATATTCAAGAGTCAACTGTTTTTAAAGTCAAGGGAAGGCATACCAATAGTTGTAATTTCCTAGTACTGCAAAACAAAAGCTCTAAAACTTAATGGCTTAAAACAAGCAAAATTTATTTTGCTGACTGGGCTTAGTTTGTTGCCATCATTTTCCACAATGACCAAAAACATTAAATGCCTCTTTTAGGGAGAAAAACACAGACTTTTCCCATCATATTGGAATCTTTTACTTAAATTATATCTGGACAATTGAGATTTCCAGATAAATACATAGTATTTATCTGGAATCACTCACTCAGACAAAAATGTTAAGCTAGTAAAGGAACCTCAAGTGGTATGTATAAAATGACCCATACACATGTGTTTTCAAAAGTTGGGTATAATATAACTAGACTGAGGGGTTTAAAGAAAAACTTCATTGCTGTTCCATGTGTATTTTTAAACTAGTGAGATTTCAGTTTACAGCATTAGCAATTTTGGGAGAACTAAATGCTCATTTAATTAAATGAATACTAAAAATAATGCCTTATTTAATCATACTTGATTGGGGATGTTAATCCCCTTTTTATGCATAAGGTTAGAAGTAACTTTAAGAAGAACACAGTTGATTTGTGTTGGAACCAGCATTTGGATGGGCCTACACTTGGCACTGCCTGTAGATTTTTCTATCATGCAACTAGTGGTTGAATAAGCAGGTTCTTTAGAACTTTCAGAATATTAAATATTTTAGAGAACAGAGTTAATCTAGACTTCATTTTAAGCAACATTCAGCTATTCTTTGCCTTCCCTCTCCCCTGCCCTGAAGAGTTTGTATTTATTATAATGTATAACACAGCTCCAATACAATGTGGCCTATATAGATTTTTCTCCTAGGCTTAGACATAGACTCTGAGACCATTATGGGAGCTTCGTGGTTCTCAAGCAGACTTTCATTCTACTTTTTGTCTTTGGCAAGTTGCTTTATTACCAAGTGGATGTTGGGCGCCATACATCATGTCCAGGTTCAAGGTACAGGATGAGCTGAAGGAGGCTAAAGGCTACTGGCATCCAGCCTCTCTTGTAAAAAGAAGAACCTATTCACAGAATTCTTTTATTCCCTTTATTCTTAGATCCGTCTTTAGTTACCTTTTCTGTAATGAAACCACTGCCCTCTCTGAAGCCTGAGTTCCTCTTCTAAAGTAACACCACTACCACCTTTTTTCTTTATCATCATGTTTTTTGGGGAAATTGTCTACACTCACTGCTACATGTCCTCTATCATCTAATGAAGGTATTTGTCCATTACTGGATTTTTTTTTTTTTCTTAGAGATCAGTAGTAATCAAATTGAACAGCCTGTGCCCTCTCAGGATGTGTGTTCTGTGGCAGTGGAAAAATGACAGCAAAAGAGGGAAACAACTTGTGGAATCTAGTCCCATAAATGGAGGTAGCTGCCCAAGTGACTGTCAATCAGATATTTGAGTTGCACACAACAGGTGCATTTACCTGGTTTCAGAATTGAAGCAGACTTAGGAAACGTCGCAGATGTTCTTGGGCTGTTAATGGGGGACAGGATTGATTGCTGTTCAGACAGAGCAATGTTTCCACTGTTAGTTACTGAGGTATCCTGTTACCCCAAAGACCCAGAGCCAGAATATAAACACTTTGAGTGATTGCAGTTTTGTGACAACATAATACTGGTTCTGTCATCCTCCTTCATTGGATTACCCTCCTCTCTGCTGCTTTATAATCCATGTTTTGAGTTTAGGGCAAAAATGAGAGCTGAACTGCTACATTTAATCCAGTTCTGTATTTTCATTTGTCATTTCAAAGCTAGTATTATCGTAACAAGTGTACAAATCATCAGACTCCCTGGTTACTTGTTAATGACATTCAGTAAGATAGCCTGCTTGCCCCATTTTGGATAATACCAATTTCCAGACAAAACGTTAGTCATCTCCCCTCAGTTTAAGTGCTGTCAATCAGCTCTCCATTAGGTAAAATGGTGAAAACACGCATCCAGGATCTTAGATATTTAGTGAAGTAGACATATTAAAATCTGATAACTGCTCATCAGAATTTGAAGTGATTAGGAAGGAATTAGGAAATCTAAGAGGTGGGATTTAAATTGGGCTTTGAAGAATGAAAGGTTACAGAGGATTTGGGAAAGTAAATTGGAGGCAGTGAGGACAAGTAGATGTATGACTGGCACTCGCTCAAGGTTGCGTGGAAGGAGAGTCAAAATAAGGCAAGTAGGACCCATTTTGTGGAGGGCTTGCCATGCAAGGGTAAGAAATTGGAATGATAACGTACACTGGAAGGCGAATAGAAGTTTTCTGTCACGTTATAGGAGTAGAACTGAAGGCTGTGTATATGATAGTATGGATCAGGTGGTTGGACCACCCAAGAGCTTATAATGAGAGGAATGAGAACTGAATTAGGCTGCTGACAGAACAGAAAGGATGGAGTCACAAGTAGGTTGTACTGCAGTTTAAAAAACCAGCACTAAGCACTCTTATTAAAGCACTTCCTTTAAGCTGTTACACAGATTGATCACTAGGAGGCATCAGTTTATCAACTAGTAAGGTGAAAAGGAAGGCAGCTGGACACTTACCTAATATAATAAGTCTGGAGAGTTCCGTGTTAATATTTAACATTTTCAACTCAAGGCCTTTTGGAAACTAGTATCTATGAAATATTTCTTCTGAATAGTACTTCTAAATGACAAGGAAGTCTAAACTGCACTCTGTGGGACTATTTGGTTATCTTTATACACTGATGAGGGTAAAGTGACATGCTCATAATTTACTGGCTTTTAACTATTTCTTGAAAGATGTTTGACCTTTGGTTTATCCAAATCTTTAATAATGACTGTTGTCATGAGTTTCTACTGTATGTTGCAAATTAGTTTACAGATCAGGATTTTGTAATCATTATGTATTAAACACTTAATAACTTTCCAAGTTCTCTTACATGTCTTTAAGCCAGTATTGATTAATGGACTTTTAATCAAGTGTTTGCCTATGTTACTGCCAAGTAAGAAACTTACCGACTCAGTTCCATTGTTGTGGTTCTTGTGCTTCGAAATACTTTTACTAGAAAACAGTAAGATGCTAGTTTATACAAATACTTTTCACAATATTAAATTGCATGTTGCTTGGGAAAAGTTTTGTGGATTTATTTTAGATGGTGTCTGACTATAAAAGCATTTAAGATTCAGAGAGGCTTAGCATAGGGTTATCCATTTAAAAATTATACCAAATATATATTGGTATGGCAAATTTCAAGTCCTTTCATTGCACATTTTAAAAGGTAGGATGCATCATGAAAAATCCGTCAAGCATTTGAAAAAAATTGATATTCTTTTTATGATGGGTATGGACTTCTGATTCCATTCAAGATTTCTACATATGTTGAGCATCAACTTTGTACCAAGACTTTTTCTAGGTGATTGGGACACAGAAACAATGGTCCTTGGCCTCTTGAATAGCTTGCATACTATTCTAGTCGGAAGGGGAACAGAAATAAGCAATAGGTACAGTAAATTATTGAGTAGATGTTAGAAGATAATATATGCTATGGGACAAATTAAGGGGAATTTGGTGGCTACTACTTACAGGGATCAGGATAGGCCTGCTGAGCCAAGGCTTGAAGAAGGTGATGGAGATGACCCTGAGTGCTATGCTGAAAATAGTACCGAGGGTAGAATCAGGAAGATAAGTTCAGAGCCCATTGTAGTGATCCAAGGGGGATATGATGGTGATTTGGATCAGGGTGGTAATGAAGGAAGTGGACAGAATCCAGATGTAGTTGAAGGCATAACTAATGGGATTTCCTGACTCTGTAAATTGAATATTGGGAGAAAAAAAATCATTACAAGGCAGGCATGCTTCTACACACTTAAAGTCCTAGGGCAAGAGCACAATGGAGACATATGTTTAAATATTTAAAAGTTCTGTTTAATGAAAATATGCCCAGTGTGCCTATCTTGATAAATACACCTTCATTAGAACTGAGAAGCCAGGTTTATATTATGCCAAAACATAACATGGGGGAAGAGCTGACCCTCAGCCCATGTCCCACCTTTTCTTCCCACCCCTGGCTCTGAACTGTATGGCAAGGAGCTTCCTGCACATTTACTTGGATGCCATAGCCAGTATATTCAAACTGTCCATCCCCCTAACACATCAGTGCATGCAATGATGATGTAATGCATTTCCTGGAACAGCTGGGGCTATTCTGGGCAGGGTATTTGGGGTCCTGAGTACCTACAGTGGAGTGCAGAACGAGTATGCCCTCTGGATGACATGTCATCTTGACTCTAAAGCATGCAATCATAAAGCTCAGGGCCCTGGATAAGGGCCTTTCCTGGCCTGGTGTTAAGGGCAGTACTGACCTAGGGGTTTTAGTTTGAGCATCTGTTCAGAGTATTGATGTCAACTGAGAAAGGGGGCTGCTGGTAGAATAGATGAGGGTGAGGAAAATAGTTTGGGAGCTCATTTACATGTTTGATTTCTCAGACTACACAAGCAGTACTGTAGAGAGATGTAAATGGAGAATTTTCAACTTACAGTAGCACTGACTGGCCTGGAATATATAAAAATGAAGGCTACTTTTCACTACAGTTAATTCTAACCTATAAACTGGAGCAGTTCCATTCAGGAATTTGTTATAACCTGTCAGGTATAAATTATGGACTTCTCTGACCTATCCAGAGTGTTCTTTTTCAGTTTTTTTTTTTTTTAATTATTCTCTATAACCTAAAATCCCCTCAGACTTAAACCTCTAGTGAACTATTCAGTGAATGGCTTTACTAGTAAGTGTTCCCTTGCCTAGTATGTTTATTATTTTTTAACTTTAGTGGTTTATTCTTTGGCAATAAGCAGTTGGATATAAGTTGGGGATATAAATTTGGGACTCTGGCATATAGATATTATTAAAAGTGACAAGACTAGGTATCAATAAGAGAGCAAGTATAGATAAGCGAGCCAAAGACTAAGACGTGGGGCATTCCAACATTAAAAGGTTGGAGAGGAGAGAAACTCGTAGAGGAGACACCAGAGATGTAAAGGAAAACTAAGTGATGTCCTTGAAGCCAGTGATGAACTTTATCCAAGAGAAGAAAATGAACTGTCCAATGCTGCTGATAGACATCTTTAAATTGCCAACTGTAAAATGCACCTTGAATTAGCCATTTCAAATTTGTTTACCAAAGCAATGGTTTTGTTGGCTAGTTTTCTAAACTTCAGTAACTTTTAAGTGATATTTGTAGGTTTTTATTGTATATACAGCTGAAGTTTTGTTTTTTGTTTTTGTTTTTAAACAGAGTTTTGCTCTGTGGCCCAGGCTTGTACAGTGGTGCAAACCTAGCCCCTGCAACCTTGAACTTCTGAGCTCAAACAGTCCTCCACCTCAACCTCACAAGTAGCTGGGACTGCAGGCATATGCACCACACCCGGCCAAACTTCTTTTACTTTTGTAGAGTGAGATCTTGCCATGTAGCACAGGGCTCAAGGGATCCTTTTGTCTCAGCCTCCCAGAGTGTTGGTATTACAGGTGTAAGCCACCACGCCTGGCCCAACGTATTTTTTTTTTAAGTTATTTTCTGTGAATTTACTCATTGTCTTAAAAAATTGGCAAATATGGCCATTTTGACATATTTGCCAAATATTAGCATACGGCAACTCAAGTATGTTCTTAATTTGTTAAGTCACCAACTGTTGGTGGTGACTTGAAATAAGTAAGAGCAAAGTTGTCACCAATCTATGGGATTTTTATATTACTGATATTTTTCAGTAATGCACTGTAGTCAGACCTTGTAGACTTAACTCTGAGCTGCTCACACAATTACTAAATCATTGTGAAATACCTAACTGGAAATGCTGGCCTTTAAAGTCTCTAGTTATAATTAAATGGGTGACTTTGAAAATTGTGCTGGCTGTTCAGACATTTTCAAATGAGAACAGAATGCATTTGTTTCAGACTGGTAAACTGCAGAAGGTTAAATAACACCAAAGACACTTGAGTTTCTCCTAAGAAAACGACTTGGGCCTCCAGATTACATCTCATTTTTTTTACCCTATCAAGTTTGTGTTTTTCCATATGAAATGTCTTTCCCAACTACACCTGCCCTTGGAGAGTCTGAATAACAGACTTAAAGGACGTATCCTTTCCAGATGAGTTGAAGAATGTCATCCTCTTAAAAGAATGAACAGCTGGTCATGTAGAAATTCTCTGGAATGCTCACTCGTCCTACAAGGGGGGAGGGGACAGAAAACATGTTAGGTGTAGTTTTTTTGTTATTGGTCTACAGAATCGTAAATCTTTGAGACATAGTTTTACTAGAAGTCTACGTAATTTTAACAGTTTTCTCTCTCCTGAAAAGATTGCTAATTAACAATGTGAAGGCCAGAGATCTGGCCAAGCGTAATTTAGTGGGACTCGGGATTGCTGGCTGGATTGTCCCGTTTGATCAGACGTTGTTGCTTAGATGAAGATTCAGGACGCCCTCATGTAAAAAAGTTATCCTTTGTTCTGATTACCTTGGGATTAAGTTCGAATTTCTTACCATGACACACAAAGGATTCGATTCTTGCTTAGCTCTCTAAGCTGCTCTCACGTTCTCCTCCCCTCTTGAATTCTTTGCTCTTGCCGCACAACTAGCAGATGAGCTAATCTGTCTGTTCCAGTTTGGGCATAATAGCAGCCCTTCCTCTTAACCTTGGCCCACGCTGACTTGTCCAGCCCTGGTTTAATTCTTCTTCGTGTCCTCGTGAGGGTCCGCACATACTTGGGGCTGTTTAGGGGTGAATTTCCCTAGCGGTAGGCTAGGTCTCAGTTACATCTTACTTCACAGGAAGCGGCTTCTATACGCATTGTTTAAATGTAGGGGTAGGAGGGATCTGGGAGCATGGCCTTCCCGGGGTCACAGATAAATGAGATTCCAAAACCAAGATCTGGCCAGGCGCTTCGAAAGAGAGACCCGCGGAGGCCGATCAGGCATTTGGAACTGTGCCTTGCAGTGTGGGATCTCAGCACCAGACGTTCCCCCGGTTTGTAGTTAGGAAGCTGTTACTGTTTTAAGAGACGTTGCACACCGTCCCGACGGGTCAAGAAGAAAGCCGAAGACAAGCTAGTGCCTGCGGTCGGGGTCGAGAAAAAGCAGGCGAGATGCGACCTGACGTGGGTCCGCCTTTCTCCACCCTTGGCAAACCCGACAGTTGCACTATTGCTTTCACAATCGCCCTCTGCAAGAAGAGCTACTTAATGACCGTGAGCGAACATGCGTGGGAAGCACGGTGTCCTCTCTGTGCGCTCAGTTGTTTACCCAGCGTCCGGGGCAGGCACACCCGCGGGACTTGCGAGCCTCGGCCCCGGCCTCCCAGCTCACCCAGGCCACAACGCTGGTTCTGCGGGCTCTCGGAGCCCAGCGCAAATTCCCAGGGGTAATTCGCAAGGACCGAGAAGCCGCACTGCCAGGAGGCTGCCCCCGCCTGCGCAGCCGGGTCCTCACTGTCCGAGGCTGTTAGCACAGAGCCTCGCGGGCCTGGGAGAGGCGGGACGCGGGGGATGGCCTCGCAGCGCCCTGTGGACGTCGGCATTAGTCGTCAGGCAGCCAGGGCTCCTTGGGCGATCGCCCCGGGTGGAGGAGAGGAGTTTCCGGGGCTCGGGTCCCGGTCGCCTTCCAGGGGCACGAGCGCGGAAGCAAGTGGGCGGTGAGAGGCGGAGCGAGGGACGCGGGGGGCGTGGACTCAGCCGGCTTTGGAAAGGCCCCAAGTTAATGAGGCGTGCGCCGGCTGCCGAGCGCCTCTCGGAGCTGGGCTTTCCCCCGCGGTGCGGGCGCCAGGAGCCGCCTTTTCCGCTGGGTGTCACTCGGGGGTGGGGAAGATGGCCCATTCAAAAGCGCCGCGAGGGGGCCAAGCCAGTGCCCTTCAGTGAGCGCTCGCAAGAGGACGGCAGAGGCCCGGCGGCTCGCAGCTTCGGGACCTTGTGGCGCATCAGGACGCGGCTGTCCCTCTGCCGGGACCGAGAGCCGCCGCCGCCGCTCTGCCTTCTGCGTGTTAGCTTCCTCTGCGCGCTCCGGGCAGGCGGCCGTGGGAGCCGCTGGGGCGAGGACGGCGCGCGGCTGCTGCTGCTGCCCCCGGCCCGAGCGGCTGGAAGCGGAGAGGCCGAGCCTAGCAGCGGCCCCGCTTATGCTGGGAGGATGCTGGAGAGCAGCGGCTGCAAGGCGCTGAAGGAGGGCGTGCTGGAGAAGCGCAGCGACGGGTTGTTGCAGCTCTGGAAGAAGAAGTGCTGCATTCTCACCGAAGAGGGGCTGCTGCTCATCCCGCCCAAGCAGCTGCAGCAGCAGCAGCAGCAGCAGCAACAGCAGCAGCAGCAACAGCAGCAACAGCAGCAACAGTCCGGGCAGGCGCCGGCGGAGCCGTCCCAACCCAGCGGACCCGCTGTCACCGCCCTCGAGCCGCCGGTCAAGCTCAAGGAATTGCACTTCTCCAACATGAAGACCGTGGACTGTGTGGAGCGCAAGGGCAAGTACATGTACTTCACTGTGGTGATGGCAGAGGGCAAGGAGATCGACTTTCGGTGCCCGCAAGACCAGGGCTGGAACGCGGAGATCACGCTGCAGATGGTGCAGTACAAGAATCGTCAGGCTATCCTGGCGGTCAAGTCCACGCGGCAAAAGCAGCAGCACCTGGTCCAGCAGCAGCCCCCGCTGGAGCAGCAGCCGCAGCCCCAGCCCCAGCCCCAGCCGCAACCTCAGCCCCAAACCCAACCCCAGCCCCAGCCCCAGTCACAGCCCCAGCCTCAGCCCCAACCCAAGCCTCAGCCCCAGCAGCCCCACCCGTATCCGCATCCACATCCACATCCGCACGCTCATCCGCATCCGCACCCGCACCCTCACCCTCACCCGCACCCGGTGCACCCGCATCCGCGCCAAATACCGCACCCGCACCCACAGCCGCACTCGCAGCCGCACGGACACCGGCTTCTCCGCAGCACCTCCAACTCCGCCTGAAGGGGGCAGCTCCCGGGCCAGACAAGGTAGGGTCCCGGCACTCGCGCTCCCGAGGCGTGGGTCACAGGGTGTTGGGAGGAGTAGGCAGACTGTTCACAGGTTCGGCTCCTGTGTGGAGAAATGAGAACTCTTTCCAAGTTTCTGGGGAGGTGGAAAGAACAGAACCAAACTGGAGCCAGAAGGGCCTGGACAGAGAGGAGAGGCTGGGAGACCCGGGCCAGGCAAGGGGCCTCGCGGACCGCGCCCGCGCCCATCATGACCTTCCTGGTCCAGGGGTGCACCTCCAGCCCTACTTGGCTGTGTGTCTGGGCACTTGGAGAGACCCCGGTGTCTTTCTGAGCCCGTTTTGTCAGCCAGACTGGCCCGAACAGAACTGGTCTCGGAGGACTCTTAGCCACCTACTTGACTCGGTGTCATTTCTTTCCAGGTTTTGAGGACTTGAGGAAGTGGGACGAACACATTTCTATTGTCTTCACTTGGATCGAAAGCAAAACGGTCTCCCCGCCCCGCACCAGATCAAGTAGTTTGGACATTACCCTACTGAAAACTTGCGATTCTTCTTAGTTTTCTACGATGCAGGAAACGATTTCAAGTCAAGAAGACTTTATTTATGAACCTTTGAAAGGATCTTCTAGCACGGTGAATTTTATAGGAGGGATGATGTACTGTAATTTTATTTTAATGTATTTTGATTTATGGTTATTTATTAGTTTTTTTTAAATGCTTGTTCTAAGACATTTCTGAATGTAGGCCATTTGTCAAAAAGGAAACATTATTTTCAAAAACCTATTCCATAGTAAGTCCTTATCTCGGAAAATAAAAAAGGGCGGTGGAGGGAAAAACATGAATCTATTCATTATTCCTAGAGTATTTTCAGAAAGTCTGACACTTTTCATTGTTATGCCAGGTGGTTGAAATTAAACTCTGATACTACTTTTTTTGAGTTTTTTTTTTTTCTTCCCGTAGACATAGAGTTTGTATAGAAGTTTTAAAAAGCTAAAAGTTCAAAATGGTGTAATTTATGAAAATCTAACACTCGAGATAGTTTCTAAAAGGAAATCAGTAGTGAGGACACCTGATTTCAAAATATTTAAAACATAACCTAACTGATGGTAGGATGATTATATCTCGAATATGTGGTAGGGTCACATTTACTGTAGGAAAACCTAGCTTATATCGTCTGTGTGTAAAGGGCTTGATAAGGAGATGAGGCCTTTTAAATGACTTATAAGTACGTTTGCTGTTTTATTTCAAAAGTGTTGTGGAGGCAAAGAGTAGATTTAACTTGTGTAAGAAAATATTTGTGCTCCTGTCCAGGCTGGGAGACCTTTCTCTGAAAGCTTTGCACACTTGACTTGAACCACATTTTCTGATCCCTTTACCTTGTTTTAGAAACACACTGAAAAATCTCGTCGTTTAAATTACAATTTGTAGATATTTCGAAGGTCTAGGAGTCATAACTTTTTATTTTCATACAGAAAATGATGTTGAACAGAGAAACCAACTGTTTTGCTTTTCATTGCTCGGTGAGAAATGTGAGGATTCTGTTTTGTTGTTAGGTTAGTTAAACTCAGAGATTGAAAAGGAAAAGACTGGATAAACACAGGATTTTCAGTAAGAAAACAACCCCAGTCTTGTGTTAGAAGCCACTTGTTAAGGAGTCCGGGGGGAAAAAAAGAGGATGCGCTTTTAAAGGTAGAACAAACCTTCTTCTGTGTTAAATCAAAAGGATGGTCAAAATCCACCAGGGCAGATGCTACTTAAGTTTAAATGGAGCCATAGATGATACCAAGTCCTCTTGGGGCTGAAAATCACTTCCTATCTGCATGGCTTTACTAACTGGTTTCTGTTTTCCATTATCTTTTTCACAGAAGGTCTTGGTCAGTACTTTTCCGGCATTTCAATGGAAATGGTCAGTATTAGACCACTGCTAGGTTATGTAGTCAAGAAATAAAAAACAGAATTGTATGCTACAGATGTCTTCATTCTCCTTCCATCTGGAAAGGAATTCCAAGGTCAAATTACTTTTAATGTAATAAATGATGACATTTTGAGATCATAATTCTTATCCAAAAAGTTGCAGGGAAAATTAAAGCAAATGGCAAACAAAACTTAGGTGGACTCCCACTTCCAGTGGTTGTGTAGGTTGCAGTTATGAAAAAATGCTGCCAACATTCAAAAACTCATTTCATATGTATATATGTATACACATATATGAATATGTATGTGTATATATATATGCATCTGAGAGCATGTATGTGCACATATACGCATACATATATGTATGTGTAGATGAATACATATATAAATATATAGGAATACATATATGAATATGTATATATATACATGTATGTATATATGTATATGAAATGAGAGCCAGATCTAAAAATTTCTCAAATCAAGTTTGGTTCAGTTTCCTTAGGACTACAAGTGTACTTTTTGAGAATTGCCTCATAGTACTATACTTTTAATACATGCAAATCATAATAACTCCAAATGAACCATGGTTTTTTCCCAATGGAGAATTTATCTTTTAAATTCTTGTTCTAAAAAAAAAAATCCATACCAAATACGTTACAAATTAAGATTGATGTAGGTTTTAAAAAGGGCATTTGTATGTTAGCTTACATATAGCGCTAGGTAATTTCATTGTTTCAAAAAATATGCCCAGGCTACCTCTTGGTGGCTGAATTTTTTTTTCCCCCATAGTGGCTATGGTTCTTAATAGGGCCACCAGAATCATGGTTTCTTGTCTTTCTATAGCCCTTGTTCCTTGGTCTGCTGTGATATTTATGTTGACTTGACCTTTATGACTTTCTAGTCTGAACCCCTCTTAGCATTTAACTGTGGAATCTAAGAAATTAGAGAGTAGAATGGCTTTTATTATTTTGACACCTTTGAAATTATTATTAATAATTTTTCCAGAGCAAAAAAGCAAACACGCTCAATAAGACTAAACAAAACAAAATGTAAATATATATCATGTAATGTCTCAGTGGCTCTATTCTACCTGTAAGAAATGATACAAACCACCTAAGGCATTTTGAAGCCTGACAAATCAGCTTCACGGAAAAAGGTAAAAAATGTCTTTTTCAACCCAAGGAAGAGAAGACCGAAAGGGCAGATCCAATAGAAAACCCGCTCCTTAAATAAAAGTAAAATGTAAAACTTTGGAAAATTAAGAGTCATGCTTCATCTGGAAACTGAACGTTTGTCCTTGAACTTGTGTTGGCACCAAGCCTCATACACAGTGAGCTCAATAACTATTTGTCGGGACAAAGGAAGGACAAAATGTGTCACTTCCCAGCATCTGGGAGGTGCTGTCTCGTCCCTCACTGAGAGCTTCTTTTCTTTGCTCTCATGTCATTCCCTGAGAACAGTTAATTCTGGGACAGGCTAAACATGATGAGCTTCTTAAACAGACTTTCTTAGTGGAAATCCATTTAGATCTGTGTATGCTCTACGGGCAATGCTGACGTCAGAGAGTAAATGTCTATCAGGGGCGCTTTTGAAAAGAACATTTTCCTCATTGAGCAAGCTGGGATCAGAGGATCCATGTAGAAATCAAGGCAGCTTTATAATTTCACTTCAAATGTTTATGTTTTTGTTTTTTTGTCTCCAATTATGGTAAAAATAAAAAACGCATATTACTTAAGGAGTCTCGCTCTCATGTAAACACTATTAGGAAGTCTGGATTAAGTTGAAAGTCCTGTTTTAACTCCGTTTTCGCTCTCATCTACCAAACACTTTGTATTTATCATAAAGAAGCCTTTTCTCTTAAGAGAAAGCCCTCATTTTAAATCTGACACTAAAGTTTGCTGCAAGTGTATGAGTTCAACCATATCCCTTGTTTTCTGTCCCTAGGAAAAAAGTCATGTGGTTTTAGCTCGGCTCCAATGTTAACAGTATTATATTCAGTAGCAGGCTTGGAAGAGTGGTCTAAGACTGGAATCTGGAGCAATCCTACAGCGCAGAATCCTATGAAGATAGGTCTGTGAGCATTTGTTTTCTTTTTTGTGTGTGTCAAACTGATTGGTTTTTGCTTTGCCAATAAAATATCCTAAGCAGAATACATTGTAAATATGAAAATTATAGATCCTGGTATTGAATCCATTAGTGATTCAAGAGATACACCTATTTGCCTCAAACAACCTAAGATGTGTTAGTTATGGAATTATGCTGGCTCGGTTCTTAAGGCCTATTTCCTGAATTCTTGACACAGTTTTCAAGGATGGCTTTTTGATTTACACAGTTGAGCAGCCAATCCAGATTTACCTAAGATTGGGTAAAAAAATTGGCTGGGCGCGGTGGCTCAAGCCTGTAATCCCAGCACTTTGGGAGGCCGAGGCAGGTGGATCACGAGGTCAAGAGATCAAGACCATCCTGGTCAACATGGTGAAACCCTGTCTCTACTAAAAATACAAAAAATTAGCTGGGCATGGTGGCGTGTGCCTGTAGTCCCAGCTACTCAGGAGGCTGAGGCAGGAGAATTGCCTGAACCCAGGAGGCGGAGGTTGTGGTGAGCCGAGATCGCGCCATTGCACTCCAGCCTGGGTAACAAGAGCGAAACTCCGGCTCAAAAAAAAAGAGTGGGTAAAAAAAAGTGATTTGTGACTTTGTTGGCAGGGCATTTGCTAAATGGAGTATAGGATCTAACAGGGTTTTCTTAGAAAGGGCAATATTGTCCAATGAAGGAAGCAGGAGGACTCTGGGTTAGAAGTATCTGCATAAAAGCTGGTGAGACTTACTCTCCACTGCTCTGCAGCTGGTCTGCTGATGGCAGGCTGAGCAGTGGGGAAGCAGGTTTTAACAATAGGCAATCCTTCCAGGTCACTGTATGTTGAGAAGAAACATAAAACTGTTGTCTGTTACGTTCCGAGGTCGGCCTTCTGCTTAATGTTTCATAGTATACAAATGCCAGCTCTGGAAAGCAAGTATCACCATGTACCAGATGCTTTATACACCATCACATTCGTGAATTTATTAGCAGGGTCAGAACTTGTGTAAATATATCTCTTAGAGGATTTTGGGGAGACGTGATTTATTTTTCATATTTTCAAAATGCATTCCATTTCAAATAAAGTTATCTATTGAGACAACTGACCTGTGGAGCTTTTGAAGGCCTCATTCAACTGGCACCTGCATTGTGTGTTCCTGTGAAACAGAGATTCTGAGTCGCTTGGCGATTCTGAAAAGAAAAAGACCGTTTTTGAAGTTGGGAATTCATTTTTTTTTTAATTCACTGGGAATTTGGAATATGAAAATTCACTCAGGTCTGTGGGTGAAAAACTTAGCTTTCAGAATGCTAATGTTTAGTTGAATTTTCCATAGTTCCTCAAAGGACCAGAAACAGTCCCCAGTGAATTAGCTCAACAGCAATTCCCTTTTGGGTCCTAGAGTTAGTGGAATTCTCTTAGGTCTTTTGGGAGGGTAAAGCTTTGACTCTGAGTCATCCTTCAAACAGGTATTCATAAACCTTCCTATTTTGTGTTGAAAGCAGAAGAGGGACTTGATTCCTTAAAGAAAAATAGCATTAACTTTATTCTTACAATCCTCACTGGCATCTAAAAGCCTTTACATCTCAAAAGACTTTAAAATAGGAGACTTGATGGCATTCTGTTTTTATCCCTTAGCATAGTCTTACGTTGACAGCTTTATTACTCAAGGTTTTTTTTTTTAAAGAAAAAATGTGAGAAGACAACTTACTGTCATGCTGAGGGGACTTCAGGGACACTGTGCAAAATAAATGTATATAATAGGCGGTAACGCAGGATTGGTAAGAGCCAGGATTTCAGAATCATAGTACACAGGTTCAAGTGTCAGTTCCACAATTATTAGCTGTGTAGATCTTGAACTACTTAAACTCTTGGAAACTCAGTTTCCTTTTCTGTAAAATGGAGTTAATGAAGGTACTTATTTCGAGGTTATTGAGGAGACTTAATATGTTAGGATACATAGAAGTACTTAGAGCAGTGCCTGGCATCACTATGAAAGAAAGAGCCTTGCATTAGGACAGATAAATAGGTGGGGAATTGTTATAGCCATACTATATAATATATGGTATTCTGAAGCTAGGCATTGTATTTTCTGAGATCTCAGCATGTCTTTATTTATTTATTTATTGAGTCAGATTCTCGCTCTGTTGCCCAGGCTAGAGTACAGTAGTGCCACCTTGGCTCACTACAACCTCTACCTCCAGGGTTCAAGTGATTCTCCCACCTCAGCCTCCTGAGTAGCTGGGATTACAGGCATGTGCCACCACACTGGCTAATTTTTGTATCTGTAGTAGAGATGGGGTTTCACCATGTTGCCCAGTCTGGTCTTGAACTCCTGACCACAAGTGATCCCAAAGTGCTAGGATTGCAGGTTGAGCCACCATACCTGGCCTCAGCACTTCTTTTTAAATGCTAAGAACAGTATGTTTGACCACATCCTCTAATTCAACTTTGAAAAAAGAGGAAAATACATTATACGAATACCATTTAAAATTTTATTGTTATTATTATTTCTTTTGAGGCAGAGTTTCACTCTGGCACCCAGGCTGGAGTGCAGTGTGGCACAATACTGCAACCTCCGTCCCCCGAGTAGCTGGGATTCCAGCCATGCACCACCATGCCTGGCTAGTTTTTGTATTTTTAACAGAGATGGGGTTTCACCATGTTGGCCGGGTTGATCTCGAACTCCTGACCTCAGGTGATCCACCCCCCTTGGCCTCCCAAAATGTTGGGATTACAAGCGTGTGCCACCGCACCCAGCCTATTATTATTATTTTTTAGAGACATGATCTTGCTCTGTTGCCCAGACTGGAGTTCACTGGTGTGATCATAGCTCACTGCAGCCCAGAACTCCTGGGCTCAAGCATCCTCCCACCACCTCAGCCTCCCAAAGTCCCGGGATTACAGGCATCAGCCACCATGCGTGCAAGCACTACCATATTATTGACAATTTTTATTTGCTTATTACTTTCCAGTCTTGGTCCACCTACTCATGTATGTTAAGTCATGAATAAATTATTCAATAAAAATAATCATATATGAAGCTGTGGTGCTCTTCCCAGATTGCTACTTCAGGACAGGGTCATTCAGTCACCATATGTGGAAGTGACAGTGGCTATCATGTTCTCAGCAAGTCCTTTCCCTGGGGACCCACTGTCTCCTAGAGCATACCCCCTTCTTGTGGGTAGCCTATATCCAGTGATGGTTCTGTGGGGAATGGACGAAGGCCAGGCCAACTGTAAAAGATCATCCCAGCTGCAGAGCAGCCCATAGAATTGGCTGAGGCTTCTCAGAACCAGTGGGCATTGCAGTTCAACTCTCACTCTGCCCAATTCTGTTTCCAGTGCTCCCTCACAGGTGAGGCTCCCAAAAACACTACTTGGGGTGTCAACACCTGTTCTCCCCCTAACCTCCTGCCATCAAATCTCCGTCTCAGAAACTGTATCTCAGGGAATCTTGCCTCTGACCATGTCTGTTTCTGTATGTGAATATCTGCATGTTCCCACCACCGGGTTCTGTCGGAAGGTTGGTGGTGTTGGGAGGGCGGTAT